AATTTATTGTAATTTTCTGTGAGAAACTGTTTGTTAAATATTTGAAAAAAATTGTTTTCAAAAGATTTTTTATCACGATGGGCGGAGCATTAATTAATTTAGCTTTATTTAGGAGGCTTTCAGCCTTAGGCTGGTTCGCCTCCAAGATGGGCGGAGCAATATTTGTTCACCTTTATGCCCAAATATAAACAAACTTACAAATTGAAATTCGCTGTAAAAATAGAGGTAAAGTGCGGGTTGTGCTTGGTAAGCCCAAAATTAGATCTAAACCCTAGAAGAATACCAGCAAAACTGGTTCTGTTTCGTAATTCTTAGTTTACGGAAGTTAACGGAAATAATTTGATTAAGGGGGAGAGGTAGCTCATCGATTCTTCCGGTTCGCCTCCTAGTATCGTGCTATAAGGTACCAGGCGATAACCAGGGTAGTTGATCGATAGCTCAATGACGTCATTTCGTTGGCGTCTGCAATGGGAAATTCTCATAGCAGGCGTTGACGATGGGACGTTGTCGAGTTCTTGAATAGCAACTATCGTGGTAACTCACCGATTACCTGTCGATCTGCCAAATTTGGAAAGACGTCTGCATTGAATTGTCTCATATAATAATATTCCGCCCACTATATCACAAGAAATTGCGAGTAACTGAGTGGAATGGAGATAAGTTAAGCATTGGGTACAGCACCAAGTCTCCCCTGGGTGGTGCCAAAAGATGAGCGCAATAGAATCATCAAGTTGCCATAAGGCACGGAATGAGACTATTGCATGGCTGGGTAGTCAAAGTCTTCCATTCGTTAGTCATTTCAGGTGGATTAGAACAGGTTTAGGTTTAGGGTGGGCGTTGGCCAGATTTGGATTGTTCAGATGTAATCCTGGATAGGACCCTGTCATTGAACGTCGCGTGAAAGTGGAACTTAATGAAGGCCTAAGTACTTTTTCGTAGTTTTTAGTTTTCGGATTTGAAAGATCGTCGGTTACAGTGGCCTGCTTACTGAGCAGAAAAACGCGGTCCCAGGTCCTTACATATCAAAGAGATTTATGGTAAAATCGCTTGCGTATCGTGTATTTTGCGAAACTCGTTGTTGTCGTTGGTTCCAGGTTTGAATGGATACACAAATTTGAACAACGGTATTATGTGATATGAGGGGCTCGGTGGCCTTAGAGCAACCGTTTTTGCTTGCTGAGCAGAACATCATGTGTCTAATCTCAGGCCCATCCACATTCAAGATTCGTCAATCGTTTTATTTGTTAATATGACTACATGGTAATAACAGCAACTCGGTGATTAAAAAGGTGCTCGTCTGCCTATTGGCAAACGTTTTTGCTCCTTCGCGTTATATGATCGTTAGGACATCAATTCAGCTTATCGTTTACCAAAACGAACCCTGCTGCAAACCCAACCCTCTTATCCAACATCCCATTGATTCCTCGTGGAAGTGCAGAGGTGTTCTCGGCTTCCATCAAAGCGAGTGTCATGTCAACACAATCCTTCCCATTCCTTTCTTGACCTGTGTTCGGGCGCGGCCGGCGCTGGTATTGCCTAATTTAAGATCACCAGTTTTTACACATTGAGGATGATTGCTAGTCCCAAGCATCGTCTATTGGTTCTCTGTGTAATTACAGCTGATCTGGCAGTAACAGAGTAGCAACCGTGGGCGGTCAATCAAGCTCAAGCTCAAGCTCAAGTTAACGGAAATAATTTGATTAAATTGTATTTTTGAATTAAAAAATGTTGATTTTGTAAAATACCGCTAAAGCTGATTGTTTGCTGCAATTTATTCTAACTTATCTATTATTTATTAGTTGATACCTTGTATTCAAGCAATGGTAACATACAATTTATAAAAGATTTCGTCCTCTTCCTCCAGTGTAGCTTAATCAGCACTAGCATTGGGCGATCTTGAGGCAAGAATCGATCTTAGTGAATCGATTCATTTTTTTGCAAATAATCGATTCACCGATTTAATCAATCATTTTAAATCGATCTTTTTGAATCGATATTTTTGAATCGATCTTTTGAATCGATTCATTTTTCAAAATGGCACAAGAATGTTTCAAATATAACGGATCATAGGAAAGTTGGTGCACATTAAGCCAAGTTCAGTTTAGAGTTGATATTACGTTACATATGCTATCTTGTTATGACACACACCTATAATGATTGATATCATTTAGAAATAAATTGTGTAGTACGTACGCAGTGAATGTTGTGAGTTTAACATACATCACTGCTGGTCATTAAAATAGGTGTAGGCAAAATAAATGCGAAATTTTAGGTTATGTTCATTCAACTTCATTTTATTCGACTTTAAAGTTAAGCATTTGATTGTGTAATAAAACACAAGAAAACTCAAAGTTGAAATATTAAATGACTCACTAATTAGAATCATAATTAAAATATGCTTGGTCAGTGAAATAGGTGTTGCATAAAACTATAGTACAGAAAGCTTGAAAATAATCGTATGAGTTTTATTAGACTAATGACGCTTAGTAACCGCTGTGCTCTCCATTGTTAAGTAGAACCTTGTTCAATCTTCTTGGCATTGACTCAACCAAGCACTGACAAGTTTCCTTTGGTATAGCATACCACTATTTTTGAACTGTTGTCCATAGTTGATCCTTATTTGAAAATGCTTGACCAGATAACTTTCTTTTAAGATTGTTCCATAAATTTTCGATGGGGTCGATGTAAGGAGATTGGCTAGGCCAGGCCGACACTTTGTTTGCACGAAACCATTCCTTTACATACTTAGAAGTGTGTTTCGGATCGTTGCCTTGCTGAAAATGCCATATAAGAGGCATGTTTTCTTCTGCATAAGGGAGCATAACCTCCTCCATGATTTCTTTGTATTCAAAACTGGTCATGATGGAATTAATACGGAAAATGGACCTACTCCATACCAAGAAAAACAGCCCCAAACCATGATGCTACCACACCACCTCCACGCTTTACGGTCTTTATCGTGTACCGCCGTTCGAACTCTTTAACAGATGGTCTACGTGAGGATATAGTAAATGACTATATTGATTTCATTTGACATGTGGAAGTTTTTGCTCAGGATTCTTGATTAGGCAAATGATTTAACAGGTTATAAGGATTGGATGGTCGGAGTGTAAAAGCAGGAAGGTACAGGTAAGTACGGAAAGTACTTGATTCAGATTTCCCAAAACTCATCCGAGAGTGATCCCAAGAAAGCATATTTGAAGAATATCCTCTCTGACGGAACACTTGTTACCATTCTTGATAAATAGTCTCGAGAAATGGGGTTTACATGGTGATATACACTACGGATTTTCTCCCATCATCGAAAAAGATCGACAGAACGTGGGAAAACAGGTTGATGCAAGAAATTTTGTAATTTAGCCGATATGCCCCCATTGCGATCCAGTTCTGACATAGCAGAGGACTGATCAACCTGAAATCTCGCGTCACTTTTCAAATAGACCAATGTAACAAATGTAAACAAATCGAGTTAAGCGATACAAACTATTGCTCTTCTATCATTGTATGTGATACAAAAACATCCATCCAAATTTACTTTCATTTATTTAAGATAATCATAGGTCAAAAACTGTTCAATGTACAGTTTGAAATTATGATTACCTGTTTGTTACTTCGGTCATTCGGACTGCCTAACATGATTGGTGCTCATTTTCTAAAGGCGGGGCCAACCTAAAGTTAGGTACTCTACTCTGAAATCTGTGAAAGGGAATCTAGTATCATGTAGACAAAACGTCCAATGTAACACTTATTGATTAAATCATTGATAAAAATCGTCCAATGTAACGTGTCCGATGTACAACTTGACTAGTCAAAACGTCCTACGTGGTTTTTTCTATATTGTAGCATGTAAAATTGTGATTTTACCGTTTCTAATGAATTTTCAACGTTATAACGTTACGACTACATTAAAAATGGTATTGCAAAATGTATTGTTTCTAAACAGTTAAAATAATAATCTGTCGAATTTCAACTTCGATTTTCTCAAAATGGTGGATATGTTACATTGGTCTATCTGAAAAGTGACGCGAGAAATATGTCATAAGAGTTGAATGTTTGTACATATGTAGATTAATAACTTTCTTTACCATTTCGTCATGAATATCCCACAGGCCTCCGGTTGGTTTTGGTGGGGGGACAGATGTGTGTAATCATCGTATACTCTTTCGGTACTATAGATCAGCTCAGACACAATTTTAACTGCCCGAGCGTGAGCTGAAGACTGCAGGTACAAATCAATATTAAATTGCAAATGCAAATGCATGGATTTTTTTTGTTGGATCGAAATGAAAATCGAATGAAAAGGATCGATCCAGTCGATTTTTGTCGTGTTTGAGATCGATTCAATCAGCACTATCTACAATCGCTTCTCGGCCTAAAGGCTATGATTGAAGATAGCCTCTTATAGAATCGTTTCCTCCATTAAATCTAAATCATTCTTAAGTATCACGTGTTTCTCTGCAGATCAAAAGTTAAATAAATGTCATTTCAAGATCCAAAGAGAAAAGCCACCAGGAAAGCTAAGTGGATGTATTTAGTCTCATGAATTTTCCGCAACAAATATAACATCTCAACTTGTTATAGAAATTCAGAAGTCATCATCACCTCCATTTCAACTAGATGAAGGCAGCGGTCGCCTTCGTCCTCTGGCCTTCTGCTTCTCTGCCCACTCACCACCAGTAGGACATAAGAAAAACGCTACCTTGTTGAGTAAGTGTGTGACCGATTACAGAGCAATAAGCGAAAACAAACAAATTAATGTCGCTCTTCTTGCCTCTGCCTTCTGAACTTGCCTCTGCCTTCTGAGCAATTCTCAATTCAACACGGGAGGAGGGGTCTACTGAGCTACTGCTACTCGGTACAAATACAGTCACATTCAGATTGTACGTACGAACGTGACCGTGTGTCATCCATAAGCCCGGGAAGGGGGAAAACGGAAAAACCAACAACCCACCGAAGCGTATTGTTGTATGTTTAGTTTGAAAGTGTCCCCCGCTCGATGAAGTCACGTTTCCTTGTCGTCGTCGTTAGAACGCGTACCGTCGCCTATACACCTCCATGCACCGAACAGTAGTGACAACATTACAGCGAAATGGATAAAGCTACGGAGTTAATCCAACCGGAAGAACGGTTGAAACTGTCGCGTATTCCGAGTTCTTCGTTTTCCATAGAAAATCTCATCGCGACGGAACATCGACAAATCGGAAGTCATTCGCCGCCGGTATCGGATCGATCGCGACCAGTGCCGGGGGACGGCAGTCCCTACCTGGTCAACGGCTACAACGCAGCTATGCTTTCGTTTACGAACTTTCCCCTGTACAATCCTTGGGTGGGTTACCTATCGCAAACGGCAAATGAAAAACTATCGCAACTGTTTTCCAGCGCCACAAGTGGTAGCGGAGGTGATAAACGTGGCCATAAATCAGTACCAAGCGAACCCGGTGAAGCTGGGCCCGGTCCTGCCAATAGCAGTGACGATGCCGGCAGCGGTGGTGGTCAAAGTGGTGATAAATCTTCGATCGAAGTGAACGCCTTGAAGACGTTTCCGGGAGTGGCGGCATACGGTGCCGCGCCGGGTCTCGAAGTGGCAGCGCAATATTTTGCAAACACTCGGAGATCCCTCTATCCGACGGATTTCGGTGAAAGTGGTGATAAGATAAATCACAGTGGCTATGGTGGTGGTGGTGTGAGCAGTGCTATCGGTGGAAGAATATTCTTGAGGAATTTCAATGGTGAACTGGCGTCGGCGGCCAGCCGGAGTAGTTTGGACATACAGGACTCGGATTCGAGGCAGTCGTACCTGAACATTGATCGAGACGATGACGAGCAGCCGGCGGGTGACGCTGGAGGGGATAGCAACGACGACGGGTCCTACAGCGACGATATCAGTTTGTCACTATCGCCGACCGGGTGCGGTAAAAGTACCGGTAAGGATCAAAAAGGGATGTGGTATGGAATGAGTAGGCAATTTGTGATTGATCCGACGTCGTCGTCGCCGTGGTGATTGAGTGATAAGCGGATTATGGTGTGGTATGGGGTCGTATTTGTCTATCATCGTTTAATCACTACCCAAGTAACACATATATTCATGAAATTATGTTGAGTAAACTTCTTTACTACCAAAGACAGTCATATAAAGGTTATATAAAGTGACATAGAACTTGTTTGTAACATGGGTATCCTACTGTTGGTTAGTGGGGTGGTTTAAATTACAGTACTCGTTTGATTTTGGCAACAAAACCTCGAAACCGTTCTTTTTTGGCACCGTGCCAATGTATTTTTGTTCTTTGTGATTGTGATTACAATGTTTAGTAAAAGATTAATTATTAATAAAATCTATGGCTTAAAGATGAATCACGGTGGTCCAAAATCAACGAAATCATAAATAAAATTTTAAAATAAAATCGTTCGTTTTTGGCACGGGACTCGACTTTGACATCACTACATTTATGCTTGTTACCAAAATCGAACGGGTACTGTATCTATTTTGCTTTAGTAGATCCAGGAGACTCCCAAATCAGCTTAATTGTTGTTGTTGATTCACGGGACCTACCAATTTTGTAAGGCAAATATTACATTACAAAATATTATACAGTTAGTCAGTAGTGACACTTCGAAATTTCGGCTCATTTTGACGTAAACAAATTTCATCACTTCAAAGCACATGCAACTTTAATCCTGTAACTCGGGCACCTCTCAGACGTTGATATTAACATTTACATTAACATTTCAATATCATGTTCTTTGGTATCATGGTTGAAAATTTGGAATCCTGGGTAAAATGTTACAACTGTTTATTTATTCAATGTTCATGTGATTTAATAGCCGTGTTCAATGACACAGCTCGAATCAGCTCGAGGTTGCTTGCACTTATCTGAGATTTTTTAAATGAACAAATAGCTATCAACCTACTTCTAGCTAGTACCAGGGTGGCCACTCAACAGGGAGAAATTTACTGGGAATAGAAACCAACCGGGAAATAACCAGGAATTTGATTGCAATCTCAAAACATGTTTGCATATTAAGGTTGAACACGATAAAATCCGGACACATTGAAAACGCTGTCATTAAGGCATATTTTGAGTATATATTTTTTCAAAATTTCACTGAATCAAACTAAGAGTGTAGATAATCACAGTAGGCTTTGTTTGTCAGGATAAGTTCATTTGTTTACATCATGGCTTTATCAGAGCAAGCACTTCGTGATTCGATCCTGCACGCTCGAAACGAAAATCCCGGTCCTGGCAGTTTTAGATCAAATTCCTGGGCAGGAATTTTATGCCTCGGTCAAGCGGAAGAGTGCCTCGAAAGTAAAATGAAAAAGAATTCGAAATTCCCCAAAAAGTTCCTTGTCTGCAATCTGCAGTTGTGGGCTGAACATCGAAACCTTCATTACTTCTGGGACCATGAACCAGCAAATTTACCTACGCAAATTTAAAGTGCCTACGGAAGAGACTACTGCATTTTCTGGAGCAGCATGATGTGGATTGCCTATTCTGGCCGGACTTGGTAATCTGCCAAAACTTAAATTCCACCAAACAGTGGTACAGCGAAAATGGGGTCACAGTGGTTCCCAAGGCGATGAATCCGGTCAATACTCCTGAACTAAGGTAAATTCTAGATAAACATTTCAAAAGGTCCTATCTGCATTGATCGATTCTCTTCATCGACTTTCTCTTTCGTCAATAACTCAGCTGCAAAACCTTTCCCTGTTGTATTTTACGTTTTGGACGCTAGATAAAAACCTCCTTTATCAAAGTATGGGGTAGAATTAGCACGAAATCTGTTTGCATAGCAGTGGTTATGAAAAGAGAAAGTCGATGAAGAGAATCGATCAAATCATATAGGAACATTTGTAATGTTCATCGAGAATTGAGGAATACTGGTCAATTGAAAAGCACACCTTTTCCATTTTTACCAATTCAAACAAGAATTTAGCATAACCAATTGTAAATGGCTAATCTAACATATAGATGGCATTGCACTTACATATTATTTTGCTTTGTGGATTAATCGGGGATCTTCTTTAGCATGGGCATTTTACCCTCATCAACCCTATTAATTGACTATTAAATATTGTGTCCGCCTCCGACTCCGACTCCACAGCCCTGGTTAATACTCCGAACACGATGCCTTCAAAAAACGAGTTACGGCAAGTTTGCAATGACATATCTTAGCCATTTCTTGACGAATTGCAAAAATGGGTTGTACCACTAGAATTCTTAGTAGATTATTTACACTGACAAAATTTTAAAGATTGTTTTTATGTGTCCCACACATGAATTTTTGCAATGTGATCAACAAATGATATCTAAAAAATCATGTAGATTTTCACATGGAAATTCGTCAATAAAAATGTGTGGAATTGTATCAGTGTAGATTGTAAATAGGTTGGAAATAGCAACCGGTCAACACTCGTGTTTATTTCAGTTACCATGGGGACGTAATTTGTGATTAGTCTCGGTCCCTTTCAAATTCATAATTATTTATGAACCGCCCTCATATTTGAAATGACGTTTCACATTCATCTAGTGATGGCCGAATTTCATTCGAATAATCGATTAATCGATTAACCAACCGAGAATTAAAATATTTGTGATCGGTTATATCATGCTGATATAAGCATTAACTTCTCCAGAGGATCATCACCCATCGTTTCATCGTATTTAATATGGAAACTATATTTTGGGGTGTAGTGGCCACTATATTCCAAAATACGTATTCCATGTTAAATACGCTTTGATATTTTGATTCTGAACAATATAGAATAAACCGCAAGCATGTAGGACATGTTTTATAACGTGGTCACTTTATCGGTCAATACAGATTATCCGGAGAACCAGAATATGGCTACTACACCCCAAAATATAGTTTCCATATTAAATACGCTTCGATCTCTTGATTCTGAACAACATAGAAAAAATCGCAAGGTTCTAGCACAATTTTTATAATGTGGCCACTTTATCGGTCAATCCAGATTATCCGGTGAACCAGGATATGGCCACCATATTCCAAAATATGTATTCCAAGTTAAATACGCTTCGATCTCTTGATTCTGAACAACATAGAAAAAATCGCAAGGTTCTAGCACAATTTTTATAATGTGGCCACTTTATCGGTCAATCCAGATTATCCGGTGAACCAGGATATGGCCACCATATTCCAAATATGTATTCCAAGTTAAATACGCTTTGATCTCTTGATTCTGAACAACATAGAAAAAATCACAAGGTTCTAGCATTTTTTTTATAATGTGGCCACTTTATCGGTCGTTCCGGATCCTCCTTTAGTAGAGTTTCCCTGAGGGCGCATATGGGGTCTTTACATCATATATACTTAGTACTATCAATTTCCAGTAATATACGTTAAGTACAGTGTAAAATTATGTCAATAGATAGTGGCATTCCCTACTTTACCGAGAACTCGGGTTGATCCCGAACCTCTATCTCGGTACGCAAAAATCTCCAATGAGACCACCACCAATCGATTCAGCAGAGTTTTTCCTTTGAGAATATGTATAACATGTTGACTGAAACCGTTTGGCAGCCGAGATATTCAATTTAGTTGCGGTTTTGTCACTTTTTGCCCAGTGTGCATCGTTTCAAACATGTCTTATGTTTGTTTATGTCACTCTTATCGGTGAAAAAATGACAACACAGCGCACAAAAAATAATTTATTAGTTGTTAATCAAGTTTGTAATTAAAAAATGGAACATCTCGCATATTGGGTGTGATTGTTTTGATCAAAAAGCGCAAAGTTTCAACTCTATCGAGGGGACAGCATAACCACAAAAACACCTTGCATACGGGGGGTATTCATTAGATGAAAGGGACCGTGAAAGAGGACACTAAAATTAAATGTTTTTTCTCCTGATTGTTTCATCTTCATCAACGGTCTTCCGGAAGATCAGGAACATCCGTAAAAAAGTGGTCAATCCACAAAACTGATCCTAGAGCTCTGTGGATTTTTTTAACATTAGAAACTGTGATAAATATAAGAAATAATTTGGGGTTGTGACATAAACATGGACCTAGATGGCCAAGGGACCGTCCTCCGGAAGATCCGGAATATCCTCAAAAATGGTGATGCCACGAAATTGATCCTAGAGCTCCGTGGTTTCTTCAAAAACGCTTGGAACTGTGATGTAAGAAAGAAATGGGGTCGCGACAAAAACGTGGACTCAGATTGCCATGGGACCGTCCTCCGGAACATCAGACACATCCGTAGAAGTGGTCCATCCATGAAACTTATCCTAAAGTTCCGCGGTTTTTTTAATTCGTGGAACTGTGATATAAGAATTAATTTGAGGTCGTGACATAAACATGGACCCGGCTGACCATGGGACTATCCTCCGGAAGATTCGGAACATCCGTAAAAGTAGTCAATCTTTGAAACTGATTCTAGAGCTCGGCGGTTCTTTCTAGAACACTTGGAACTGTGATATAAGAAAGAATTTGAGGTCGCCACATAAATATTAACCTGGATGGCTATGGAACCGTCTTTCGGAAGATTAAGAACATCCTCAAAAATGGTAAAGCCACGAAACTGATCCTAGAGATCCACAGTTTTTTTCGAAAACACATGGAACTGTGATATAAGAAAGAGTTTGGGCTCGCGGCAGAGACATGAACCCGGATGGCTATGAGACCGTCCTTCGAAAGATCCGGAACATCTGCAAAAGTTGGCAATCTTTGAAACTGATCCTGATTTTTCGAAAACACTTGGAACTGTGATTTAAGAAAGAATTTGTGGTCGTGACACATCAAACCGGAAGGCCATGCAACCATCCCTCAGAAGCTCCGAAACATCCGTCGAAGTGGTCAGTCTTTTAAACTGATCCTAGAGCTCCACTATTTATTTTTTTTTAAACATAAGAATGAATTTGGGGTTGTGTCCTAAAAATGTACCATGGGACAATCCTTGGGA